CCAAACACGCATAGTTTGCGCTTCATCCTTTGTCTAAGAAGATATAAACTTTATAGGATTGTGAGGGACATAGCGCACCCATAAATGATGTGTGAATCTGTTTATGCGTGTCAAAGCTTGTTCTTTTACGGAAATAAACTTATGTGTTTAAATCAGTAGCGATATTAAAAAGGTTTTCTTCTCCGTTCTCTCATTTGAAATACCCACGCAGCTGTTTTTCTAAGATACCTACAGGATTAATGTTACATGTAAGGTTAAAAAAAAAAAGACCGTAAAATCAAAATTATAATTTAAATTAGCAATTGCCCTATTATTCCTCATAAATAAAATATCAAACAACCATCGGCCTTCTCTAGGCAGTCAATCAATTAGAATTGCATAGAATATATTAAAGTAGAGCCATGAAGAACGTATATTTTGCTAAAAATCGCTATCTTATAGAGATTCTTTCCCTTAAGTAAAAACTGCCAATCAGTAAATATAAAAAAGAAGTTTTACTCAAGTAGCAGCTCTTACTGAGAAAATTCCTGAATCTTTGTCGGAAAAGTTATTTCGAGTAACTTTTAAAAAAAAAATGTATGAGGTTATATTAGATACTTGAACGGGAGCGGACTAAACAGAAAGCCAGTTAAGAATAAATTGATGGAAAAATACACTCTACGAAATGAAAATAAGGAATTTCGTTAAGGACAGCTGATATAAAATTCTTAAACGCATTCTTCTGTACCTAAAATCAGCAGCAGTGATCTTTGAGTGGATGAAAGTAAATTACCCACTTTCGTTATTTTGCAAGAGATTAGGGCAGTAAGAAGCTATGGCAAGGCTCATCTTCTCCGTTCACGATTTTTTACCTTACATCCTCAAATTGCTGTCACTTTTCAGTCTAAGATTGTCACTATGCTTCTCTCGATCTCTCTTTTCCCTTTTTTAAAGCAAAGTTTATCTCGCAACCACTCAGTTTAATCGGCGATGAAGCTCGTGAAAATAACACCATACCATAATGTGCATTTTAATTTTATATATTTGTAAGCGCTTGTAAAATAAATTACTTTGCTGTGGAAGACCAGAAATGTTTCCTTTCTACCAGAAGCAACATTAGATGGATTTCAGAAAACATACAGGTATGACAACATTCAGGTAATGCGAAGAGAAAAAACGCGTGAGAAAAAACACGAAAGCAGCCATTGTGTTCTCTAGGATGCTATTTGAACGATATTTAAAATGGCACACAGCCATTACCTTTGTGTGAGATATTAAAAGTCTTTTCATTTCCTTATAGGTCATAAAATTTCAAAGTGTGTAATGGTTATCAATCCTGCAACTATTTTCAAAAATGGCTATTTAAATTTCAAAATCCTCATCTTATCTTCTACTCACTGATTTTTGCGGTACAGTGCAAGCGTTTCCATAGGAGGCTTATATATCCCAAAATAACTCATGATTTTAGAAGGCAGAGTAAATTTTATTTCATGAACTGTGCAGGAAGATCAAGAGGTACTAGCCTGTTTCACAACGAAAACCCAAAAGTAACTCGAAAATCGCCGAAATGATTAAGAGAAAGACCAGAAACCATTTAAGAACTATTAAATTCCAGTAGTATATTTAAGATACCAGTTTTTATTAAGGGCTCGGATGTCTGCGAGTTCTAAAACAATTTTTGAGATTTTGTGAAAATCAAATTTTGTCCATGTAAGTCAAATAAATTCAATACTTTCAGATTATTTTCTTGTTAATTCTCTATGGTAATTGTATTTTTTTGACCGAGGAGCATCTACAAGTCGTGAAGACACTTTTAGTAATTTTTCTGGAAGATTACAAACTTTATAAAAATCGAAACGCTATGAAATATTGTATCTGAAAATTTCATGTATTTTTGATGTATGTGTCAAATAAAAATTTAATAGGTAAAAGAAAAAGAAAAAGTTGTCATTATTTATTCTTAAATTTTGTGCGAAATGGAAAGTTTTCTTAATTAGCTTATTTTTAGTTCAGTAAGTTATTAAGTGGTAAATTCACACATATTAGAATTATTTAAAATAAATGTCAAACTAAATATTTAGCTATCAATAACGTTTTAACTCCAAGCGTAACCAACAGAAATTTATTGCAGATGCCAGCCTCTAGATTTGGAAGAGAAAATAAATATAAATTTGAATTATTTTCTGTGTGCCATTATTATTACTTTTTAATGCACATTTTAATAAATATTTCGCAAACAAAATTTAAAATTTAATTTCAAAAAATGCTTTTCTAAAATACCGATTTCCTTTTGATTGAAAAAATTAATTAAAAAATAAAAAAGGAAACCGTCATCTGCTTTTAGACTGCACATTCGGACTCCATGTAATTTCAGTTTGAAACCGATTAATATGGCGTAAATCGATATCATGCAATGGAAGTGACAGAAACGGACTGGTTCAAAAATGCAAATTTCAGTTTAAAAATGTACAATATAATGCTTATATAGTTAGATAATAGTTACTTTTATATTGCTTTTTATTCGGTATATTTTCAATGCTAGTATAAATACCTGTTAGAGAGATTTTAAGCGCCTATCGCAAACATGAAGCTTCATAATATGTATCGTAAATTTGCCATTTTTTTGGTAATAAAATCGCCAGCCATTGATACAAATACTTGGATGAAAGTCTGGTCACAGCACACAATCCGAAAAATAGATATTCATGTAAGGAACTCCACATAACTCTTTTTCAGAACCGTAATTCTTCTTTAGATTGGGGCGAAAACTACGACATTAATCTGCTGACAGCTATACATGATCTATACGTCGCATGGGATGCTGTGAAAGAAAGCACAGTTAGTAATTGCTTTCCTCATGCTAAATTAATGCACGCCAAAGAGAAGATACATATCGAAGAATGTGACGATATTGATACAGCTTTTCCCTGAATTCAATAAAATTAAATGCGATAACGTTACTTTTTCTGATTATGTAAAGGTAGATGAAACCTTGGAAGTCTATGGAAAACTGAGCTACGATGGCATAATAAAAACTATACGAGAAAATGAAAAGAAAATACCTTAGTGGATTTCAGACGTGAATGCAGAGACTGTTAAACGTCCAAATGATCAAACCAAAATGAACTCCATAAAAAACTTTGAAAGTATTTATTCAGATCGAACCTTATTCTGAAAATGACTTCAAACGTTTACTTCAAATCGAATAGCTGGCTGAAAAATTTAGGTATCATAAGCATAATTAAACATTTATTTTAAAATGTATTCATATTTTTAATTCTCGAAAGTGTAATTCATATTTTTAATTAAAGTTTACTTTCTACTGCATATCTTCTGCTTCATTTTATGATTAAGGTTACACTTAAAGGTATTAGTACTGCTGCGTTTTTGTACGAGTTCGTGGATTTGGAGCGATTGACGACAACACTTGATGAAGAATGAAAACACAGTTTATTAAGCCAGTATTACTTAGGGCAGCTCCAAAAGCACGTTTACAGTCGTCGAAAAAACTACGACAAACACGCTGAAACAATCAGCAATACAGTCTTCAGGCTATCAGGCTGTAACGGTGAAGACAGCTTCACAGCAAAGCACTAGAGTACAGCTCCCGACACTGTCGATCGCTCTCGGAGCTCAACACACTCAACGACACACTACTATATACTAGACTGACGATCAACTCGATATACTAGACTAGACTCGAGATCGACTCAGAGACTCTGACGAGACACACTCTTACTGCCCCGTACAGGCAGGGTTTATATAGCTTTTGGCCTGCTTTCGAGAGCATTCTGGAGCAAACCGTTAAGAACTCAGTGTAGAAGTTTTTCCATCCTTCTATGGTATATCGCCATATTTGTCTCCAAATAGGGCTATATCACCAAATATGACAACCCTGCTCTCGCATGCTATTTTCTTGAAACCTTAAACCTGCTTTGCGGGGAAGCTATCTTAATGCAGCTGGATATTTCGTAACAATATGTTTCATTATAGATAATATAGTATAATATATTTTCTGGGGTATACATACTAGAAGATTTTACTTCTTCAGTGATACACTTTTGAAGTCGGATAATTCGAATTCCTTTCCGAGAACCTGAGTTGAATTAACGAACGTCCACTGTACATAGCGCATTTTATGTACTAAGAAGTTATCTTGGAAGATATAGCTGCAAATTTTATTCTTCATTTGATCTGTTTTTAAAAAAGTAATGAATTCCGTTTTTAAATCTAAGCTGCAAAATGTGCGCTGTAATTCTTTAATTTCTTTATCCGAACATTTTGAATCTGCTGCCGTTATTTAAAAGACGCAGTTATTATTAGAAACATCACAACGTTGCAAAAAATCAACCAGAAAGACCAAGATGTAGAGATATGATTGCTAAAAATGAAAGCCAGAAACGTTTAATGTGAAACTTCTGAATGTATTCTTTCTTATTTTAAGTCATTTTACAGCGTACAACTTCAAAAATAGTCTCTGAATGATCTTTGAAATAAATTCACCTAAAATGGTAATTGAAAGAAAAATCCATTTACTGGCAATCATAGAAATAACATTTGGGAATGCTTATTTAAATATCTTCAAAGCTCTTTGTCTAATAGCCACATTCGCAAATAATTTTCCTGATGAAAATCGCATAGCAAGCATCAGTTAGCTGGCACCTCTAAAACGATAAACGCTCTTGTCCTCTGACACAAATGTTCTGTGTAGATCATCTTCAGAGTTGCTGGATTATACTTCTGTTAACATCATATATAAATAGAATAATTAAAAAACCCGATTAAGGAATATTTTTATTGTTATATCGGTTTTGATTGCTGTTTACGGCTATTTTTAATAGTTTTAAAGCGGTCACGTATTTCATAATGAAGATAAGACTTTGTTTGACATCTTAAGTTATTAAGTATAACTTGTTCTATTCTATTTATCTGAAAAAATGTAAATAGTATACCAGATTCCTGATAATAATTATTGTCAGGTTTTAGCTTATTTAAAAGGTATATGTTTAATGCTAATTTACCTGTACTGCATTCTCCAGCATACACAACTCGAATATTTTTTCGAGATTTGCAAGCTTCTACTCGCAGTGTACATTCGTTAGTATACGTCTTTCCATCTGATCCGCATACAGGTCTCAGATCTTCAGAGCATTCGCCGTTGCATCGACAGAGGGCATTTCGATTTTCATCCAGTTGACAGACTTGAGAGTTTGGACATTCGACTCCTTTGCAAGGATCTAAAAACAGAATAAAAGTAATAAATAATAAAAACTTTCGAAGAAAACGTCTCTTAAGATAAATTCATCTGTAAGACACATTTTAATTTAAAATGTAATTTGATATCCAATACAATCTGACTTTTTCTTTGTTTATTTATCATTTTAATTTAGTTATTGTTTTTTAATAATTTTTAGCCATTTGCAGTAATATTGTACGTTGTTCATTCTCTTAGCGGTATAACTTAGTTGTGCATACCTCGTGGTATACTTTGTGGAACACGAGTTAAAATCAGAAAAAAAAAGTCAAAAAAACGCCAAAAAAAAATCTACAAACTGATAAAGATTTACTAACATTTAAAAATAAAATAACCTAAAACTTAAAGATTCCATCTTTCAAAATTTATATTAAAAAATCTGATGTCTACGCCACATGACTTCCTTGTACGTACGCAAGAAAGCCTCCATATAATTCAGGCGTCAGGTGTGTTATAATTGCAACCGCAGGATGACAAGGCAAAAAGAATGCAACAACTGGTTTCTCGCTCTCTTCCTGCTGCCGGAGTTCGGAGGAGCAGGACGGCCTTCTGGCTGTTCCTCTCCTGCCGATGCGATGTGCCATTTTTTTTCTCTTCTTCCTTGAATGCTGCCTGATGACACCATGGAACGTTTTGTAAGATTTTGGCTTGAAGGTACAACGCTAGAAAAGATTTCTCCAGAATCGTAGAATATTGCTTCTGTTAATAATTCTTTTTTCTAGCTACATTATCTTTTTAAGATGCCTTCGCTTCGTAAATAAGCCTTGCACACGTGTTTTCTCTTCTTCGATATAAAGACCAAATGTTATCGTTTACCGAATATGCTTATTGACGGCCCAATTTTTGCATGGTTCCGACTTCTCCAGAGCTTTGATTTCGTACTGATGGAAGAACAATGACTTTGATAACGATGAGCTTAGCATTATATTAGTAATGTGCATTAAGTCACGTGTCGCATATTCCGGGTGTCATTTTGTTTAAGTATTTTGGGTTCGCCTGTCTGGCAAACATCTTCTCATTTAATCGTCAGTGCTTATTCATATATAGTGGTAACTTTATTTTGATCTTACATTTCCCTTAATAGATCAAGATCACCCATTTCTATTCCCACATTTTGTATGTATCTATAGGTTATCGCGGAAACAACGCGATCTAGTAACCATTAAGAAATTCATTTTTATTACATGAAATCCATTTTCTACCACATTTTATTACATTTAATCAATTTTTTTACCTCATTTGGTGCCTTCATTCTCCATCACATCTAATTCAATTTAATATTACAGTATGGAATATTAAATTATGTGCATTTTTTCTTGCATTTCATTTAAACCTATTGCACTCTTAAAAATTCACTATATTTGTTTACCACAGCGACACTCTGACGCCAGGTTCACTTAACAGCTTTATATTTCGTAATAGTTGCCACATGTTCTATTCAAATACTATAATAAATCTAAAACGATGTATAAAAGAAATTAAGCGAATAAAACAAAAAAGAAACAGTTTTTCCTCAGACAATTCAGTATTTTTCATTCAATAAATTCAGTTCTTACCTCCCGACAAGGTAAAAATACATAAAAACTCAAAATATCTATATTAAAAATTACGAAGTAAATCTTAAACACTTATTTCCTCGAATAAATTCCGGAATGAATTAAGCATGATTTAATTCGCAATAACAAAAGGAGGCGTTATCTTTGTCGTTGCGAAGCTTAGTTTTGCCTAGACTGGCAACAAATTCGTTATTTTTCCAAGTTTCAAATGTAAATAAATATGGCCGCCATCGCAAAAATAATTATGCTTAGCCACAATTAAATAACTTTAAATTGTTGATAACTCTAAAAATATTGCATGCAGATGTACTAAAGGAATACACACCTTAACCAGAAGATCAAAATAACATAATTCAATCATTTTTAAAGCAAAAAATGCTCAATTTATATATATAAGTATATATGTTATACTTATATGTTATAAGTATATATGTTATATATACTTATAACATATAAGAGTAAAGAAACTGAGATCACTGAGCCGGGTAACAGAGTGGATATATTTATCAAAATTTCAACGTTCTCAGGCTACTCGTTTCTGAGTTAGAGTACGTTTCTGAGTACGTCAAGATACGTACGTACGTGCAGACGCCACGAAAAAGTCTCTTTAGAATTTCTTTTAAATCAGTTTTATAATTTTTTTGGAGGAAAAGAGTCTTTTATTCTGTCCTAACGTACAAGTCGCTCAAAAACATCGTTAAATTGCATTCGATAGCGGTCAAAATGGATATTTTCGTTGAAATATGACGCCTAAAACGTTTCGCGATTACAATACTCGTACTTCCTTTTTACTTCGTACAAGGAAGTAAAAAGAGTTAAAAATTTAAATACTGCAACTGTTACTTTTTTTCTGTTATAAAAATTAATTTACTTTTTAAATATCTCTTCAGGTTGTAGAGTTTTATTTAGTATAAATTACAGTTAATTTTTAGTTAAAGTAACATTCCTTTCAATCTCGTTTTCACACACGTTTTCTTGCCGGAATATTAGTAAGTTAGCGCGTGTGTGTTCAGATGAGGCAGAAAAAAGTGCCATGTAAGGGTAGATTTTGAATGGTGATTTTAGCTACTTAAGGAGAGAGTGTTATGCATGCTTGAAGGTAACGTTGCTGTTTTGAATTACTAGAGATTAGATTCTGTAACGTTGAGTGCTTCTAGTAATTAGGCTTGTTTCCGCAAACTTCTACGAGCCACAGCCTTCCTGCGCATTACATTATACTGTAAGCCGTTAGGCTATATTTACGACATTTCATTTTAAATTCATCGTTAAATATATTGAGTGAATAAAGGGTTCTTTACAACCTTCTTCTGAAATTAAGACACAATAACACGCCGAATAAATACTAATTCAGAAGTCAAACAACAAAAATCAGCGTTATATTTACCAAATTTTCACAGGACTAGTTTCGATGGTTTTACCGAACCACCATCTTCAGCTGCAAAACCGCAAATGAACCAGATAGGAAATAATGATTAGATAAGATAAGAAAGCCTGGACAAGAATAAGCAAGTGGCGCCATCTGTTGGTGAAACCACCAACAGATGGCAACAGATGAAACCAGAACTAAAACATAATTTCTTTAAAGGCCGAAGGCAAATTTGGATTGGAATTAGGATCGTTAACTAGAACAGAAAGATTTTTATGAATGTGAAATGCCTCTAGAAAATCCAGTTCTCCAATGGAAGATGTTTTTTGAATAATTTTGGCAGCAGAAAAACCGAAAGTGTGGTTTTCGGACCAACAATGTTGAGCAACAGAAGACTTCTGTGTTTCCTTTTTTCTAACATATGCCTCATGTTCCTTGACGCGAAATTTTAAGGCTCTCTTAGTTTGGCCAATGTAAATTAAACCACACTGGCAAGGAATCCTATAAATACCCCAGGAATTAATTTCCGGAATGGGGTCCTTGAGTATGGAACTCGGAATTTTATTGATGGGAGAATAAACAACCCGAAAGTTAAATTTCTGCAAAATATGTGCAACTTTATAGCTAATTGATGGAAAAGAAGGGAATGACAACAGAATTTTTATAATCTCCTAAAACAAGAGTGTGCCTTTTAGTGTGTTGAGATGAGAATTTCTTAACTGCTTGATTAATAATGTTGGGTGGAAAGCCCCTGTCAATAGCTATTGCTTTTAATAATTTAGTTCTTCATCAAGGGCTAGTTTGGAGGAGCAAACTTGAAGAGCACGGAAAAACATAGGAATAAAATGAAGCTAACTTTTGTTTAGTCGGATGACATGATTTAAAGTGTGGTGGAAGGCAAACCGATGAAGGTTTACGGTAAACCGTAGTACTGAAGTTGGATGTGTTACGTGTGACCAGAATGTCGAGAAACGGAAGAGAATTGCAAGTCTCAAGTTCAAAAGTGAACTGAATAGCAGGATCAATAGAATTCATTGTTGAAAGAACTTTATTTAAATCATCTTTAAGATGTCTAGAAACCAGACTTCGCGAATTTCATTTCTCTTGCATCGAAATTGATGAGCTAATTTCTCTCACTCAACTCTGTTTGAAACAAACACATTTTGTTTTCCAAAATAAATATTACAAGCAAACTGAGGGATTAGCCATGGGAAGCCCCCTCAGTCCCATCCTGGCTGATATCTACTTGCATTATTATGAATCAAAATTGTTTGAAACTTTAAACTTCCCGGCATGGTTCCGCTACGTAGACGATACTTTACTCTGTTTGAAGGTAACAAAAATGATTTAAATAAAGTTCTTTCAACAATGAATTCTATTGATCCTGCTATTCAGTTCACTTTTGAACTTGAGACTTGCAATTCTCTTCCGTTTCTCGACATTCTGGTCACACGTAACACATCCAACTTCAGTACTACGGTTTACCGTAAACCTTCATCGGTTTGCCTTCCACCACACTTTAAATCATGTCATCCGACTAACAAAAAGTTAGCTTCATTTTATTCCTATGTTTTCCGTGCTCTTCAAGTTTGCTCCTCCAAACTAGCCCTTGATGAAGAACTAAATTATTTAAAAGCAATAGCTATTGACAGGGGCTTTCCACCCAACATTATTAATCAAGCAGTTAAAAAATTCTCATCTCAACACACTAAAAGGCCACACTCTTGTTTTAGGAGATTATAAAAATTCTGTTGTCATTCCCTTCTTTCCATCAATTAGCTATAAAGTTGCACATATTTTGCAGAAGAAATTTAACTTTCGGGTTGTTTATTCTCCCATCAATAAAATTCCGAGTTCTATACTCAAGGACCCCATTCCGGAAATTAATTCCTGGGGGTATTTATAGGATTCCTTGCCAGTGTGGTTTAATTTACATTGGCCAAACTAAGAGAGCCTTAAAATTTCGCGTCAAGGAAAATGAGGCATATGTTAGAAAAAAGGAAACACAGAAGTCTTCTGTTGCTCAACATTGTTGGTCCGAAAACCACACTTTCAGTTTTT